AAACGATTGAACTTAACAATGAATTAGAACCTCACGTCCCAATTAAAGAATCAATTGCTCAACAGTTTCAAAATCGAAGAGTACATGCAGTTTCAGTTGATTATGACGACTCCAAATTCTAAAAAAACAGTACTTAAAAATCCCGAATGTGCTAATGGCTTTGCGGCTGCTATTTTCCATGCCTATAATAAACATCAACATTTGCGTTTGAGTCCTGATGATGTCTGGCTTACAATTGCTCAAGGTGTTAGTCGTCATATTAATTTTAATGCTGAAAATTTTCGATCAAGGTTTGTTAAACATGAAGGAAAAGAAGACATTTATGTAGATGTTACAGGTGTTATAGGCTCAAATCTTGAAGGAAATTGGCCAGAAGTTGTAAATAGATTTGTAGTAGAAGCTGACCAAGATTATTCCAATCAAGATCTAAAGTAGTTAGGGTAGAGTTCTTCCAAAGTATCTTTATTAATTCATTTATTTTATTAGAATCAGGATTTTTATTAGAAAGTAACATTTTGAAGCATTTTCCAGAACTTTATTACTATGCTGACTATCATTGAGAATTTCTACATAAAGTTCAAATGCTTTAATATATCTGCCATTATTAAAGCATTTAATCACTTCTTTTCTCTTATTATCAAGTGCATTATTATCATCAAAATTTATGTTAATTGAAGAAGTTTCGCCCAGATTAATAGTATCAGGTAAATAAAGTGGAGATGATGTAGTAATGTCAGATGTCTTTGCATTTTCTTCTATATCTTGACTTGAGGATGAGATTTCATTATTTTTAGATGATTGTTCATTAAAGATAGGATTGTGTAAAATTTCTTTAGTTTCTTTAGAAATAAGTTGAGTTAAAACTTTGGCAGGAATGAATCTATTTATAGTGTTCCTGGGAATTCGTAACACCAGGGTAGTTGGGATCGAGATCATGTAACGTGATTGCGTTGCATGAATGGCGTGATGCAGATTTGCATAAATTAATTAGTAATTAGTAATAGTCTAATGTGTGTAACGCATTGATAATCTGTAATATAAAAGCAAAAAGCGAAACTCTAATATGAGTTAGCGAAAGAATAATAATAAAGAATCGCTTAAGTAAATATAAACTGTGTGGTATTCTTTTCAAGTAAACCCTTACGGTGGAGTACCTGAACGATACTCCAGTTCAGTACTATAGCCAAGCGAACAATTCTACATACACAAACCTGTGTGGAACCCCAAAGTTCTATTAAACTCTTACAATAGTTTCAAGGATTTTTTTGAACCATTAGAAGATTTATTATTTTCAATTAGTTGCTCATTACTGATAAGATGATTTAATGCTGTATAACTATAGGTTCCTCTCTATTCCCTTTAACTATGTGAAGGCAGAGGTCCGTCAAATTTTTTCGAAAGGTTTGAAATGGTGGTCTTCCACTTGAGATTTCCCAGAGTATTGTTCCAAAACTATATATATCTGACTTCTTATCACGTTTGTATCCCTTCTCAATAAAGCACCGAGGTTCCATGTATCCGGCATTCCACGAACAGTTGAGTTTGAATTTATTGATGTTTCATTTATCTGCTTCGACAATCCAAAATTCGCAATCTTTGGTTGACTCTGATGAATCAAAATATTTTTCGAATACTATATTATGTGTTAGGTTACAGTATTAGTGAAAAAATCTTATGAATATATAACATTAGATATAAAATTCTAACACTGTACACTTACAAGATCTCTATAAATTATTATTTTCATGTAAAAATTTAAGTGCGGATCCTATTTTTTTTGGCAATATGTAGTTTATCTGTCCACTGAAGTTTTATAAAATTTGCTTTCAAGTATTATCATAAATTCCCGTCATCAGCATATTGTAAAACCATAGTGCTTTGTTTTCTAAGTAAAAGTTGTGTATAAAACTAAACCGCATTATAGTTAGGGTTAGGGTGAGAACAACGTAGGGTTAGGGTTGTGAGTTTATTAATAAAATTTCATGAGGAACATTTTTAATTAGGCCGTAGAAGGTGGTTTCCTAATTAAAATTTAGAGCTATTCTCGCTTTTTTGTAAAAAAAAGTGGCTTTGCTTCAATTTTTACGTTACACTTGATCCTGAAATTCGATTGGCCAATATTACAGAGGTGAACAACCACCCTAGCATCCCCAACCTAAAAAATTTCGCAATTGGGCCGAATTAAAATTTAAGATCAGGTGTAACATAAAATTAAACTAAAAATACCCAAACCCTAACCCTAACTCTGGTAGCGAAATTTTTTAGGGTGGTGATGCTAGGGTCATAGGGGTGAACAATCTTTTGTAGGACAGCTAGGGGCGTTCGATATAACTTAATCACTATTTGTTCACGATCGAAGCTAAATTGGTTCAAGACTTTATAAAGTTCTCCCCGATCGTAACACCCACAAAGTCCGGGCCGATGATCGACCTGGAATTTTGGGGCTGCCCTGATATACTCCAAAAACAGTGTAAAATACCTATACATATGTATACTATAACGACAATTTTTAAACCTAACATATACAAGTGATATATGTAGGGTTCGAGGCACAGAGGCATGGGCATGCCTTTTGGGCATACCTCGGAGGCATGCCTATGGGCATGCCACCTGCCGTTAGGCATGCCCTTCATGTGATATATATGTTGTATCTGATTGGTCAACAAGTCAGAAGCAGAGTGAAAAATTTGATTTGTGTGGTCCGCACATAAAATTTTTTGCGCACAAATAAAGATATAATATTGTGCGCAAAGCGCACGTAATTTTTTAATAATTATTTTAAAATAATGTGCGCAATATAGTTAACCTGTTCTGCTATAGCAAACTTTGCGCACACTAAATTTAAAATTTGGTGCGCAACGCACACTAAATTTTGTCTTTAAATTTTTTCTCCCTGATCAGAAGTAGCCGAGGTCATCAGAGTTGTAATTTTTTACCGATTTAATTAGCATAAACCTCATGTACTGGTTGATAATCACAAGTCATCGTGACAACAAATTTCAATTTAGACAAGTCTAAATTTTTATTTGCGACATTTTCAAGTTTATCTTTTAATGCCTCGCATTTAAGTTGGTCATATTCGAAAACATCTGCATATATAAAAATCTACACGATTTGATGCAAAAATTGCATAATAGCAGATAGGGGATCCATAGCGAGAATTCTGTAAAAATTTTTAAAGTAATCATAATAGAAATCATAAAAATTCTAATGCAAGCCATATATTGTAGCCACAAGAATACAAGTTCAGTCACGAAAGAGTCCTATAATTACAGTAACTCATAATAGAAATTGATAATTTTAATGCAAACTAACACAGGTTGAATGAAGGCAAATCGGGCTCCAGCCGGCATAACGTAATCCCGATATGAACCTTATTTGAAACAGATATTTAGCGGAAATAGGGATACTAATCGGGTTCATATAGGCTCGATATATATCAGGATGCCGATAGCTCAATTGGTAAATCGATAAAGCTTGCCTAATAGCTAGAGCTATCGGCATCACAATATGTATTGAGCCCGATTCGTATTCTAAAGGTCTCCTATTTCCGCCAAATATTTGTTACAAATAAGGTTTATATCGGGATTACGCTATGCCGATTTGCCTTCATTAGACTTGTGTAACTAAACCTTAATTTACGTGTTGCTGGAAAAATTTTTTACAAAAATTCACAATAGATTATTATAATTCTGGCAACAGAATTAAACTATTGTAGAAACTACAATAACTCTAATATAACATTTCAATAAAACCAATAACAGAATTTTTTACAGTAAACCATGACATAAGTTATGATAACTCTAAAGCAAACCAAAAAAAAAAAAATACTAAATAAGATAGGTAATATGAAGTACTAGTTTTCTATATTAAAAGGGCATACCTGTGGGCACGAGGGGGGGCATGCCGTGACTCATGACATGCCCTCAAAGGCATGCCTAATTTTTTACCCGTGCCTCGAACCCTAGATATATGGCAACAGATCAACATGGTACAAACTTTATTTAGAATAGGGTATAATATCGATAACCAAAATAGTATTGTACATAAAATACCTATTTTAAAAAACCTATTCCTTAAACTGTTGTTATGCCGAGAAATTTTTCTTTAATTTAGTATTTCACTATATTATTTTTATCAGTATTAATTTATTATCTACTTATTTGGGTATGGTCTGGTAAATGATTTTCTTGGCGTATTGGAGCCTATGACTCCAGGAGTGAGTTAAAAGCTGCCGGAGGGAGTCAAGAGCCCCCGAGGGAGTCAAAAGCTCTCCGAAGGAGTTTAAGACTTCAGGCTAAATTTACGAATATATAAGGATGTGGTTTCAGTCTGCGAAAGGAAGAATGAATGGTTGTTTAACAATTATTGATAGTGTTTAGTATTATTGTATAATTCGATGTTTTGATTTATGTTAGTAAAGAAAAACCCCATAACCTATAATTATACTGTATGTTTTAGTTTATCGATATAAACCCTTTGACCTTAATCACTATTTATTAGCTAAATTGGTCCAAGACCCTATAAGGCTCTCTCACCGGTCGGTCGTAACACTGACTCAGTTTAGCGGAAAATTTTGCCCGCTAAAAATAATTAGAGGAAAAGTAAATCAGGGTAAAATTTTTTTTATTGAAATACTAATCAAAATTGACTAGATAACTCCCGGGGAACACAGAGCATGTGAAAATACAATTGTCACGTCATTGTGCATGCTATGTGACACAAGCAAAGAGCGCAAATATTTTGTTTATGCTTTATTGGGACAAAGCCTCTCAATCGCCCTGATAGTTCAGCTATGAATATTACAGACATGGACGAAATATCATCGTATTGATAGACAATCGCCATACTACGTACTAACACGTATATACCATGTCATATACCAATAACACATGATAAAAGATCACAAGTTTATCTGCAAAATGGCATGCTTTAATTCCAGCTTAGAAAAGTGTACAGTTTCTTAGAAAAATCGGGCATAATCGCACAAAATCAAAAAGAGCTTGTAGTGGGAAAATTTGCTTTAAGGATACCTTAATAATATGTATACTACACCAATACGGTAATATATGACGCTTATCAGCATAGTACAGAGTTTAGAATAGGGTATTTTTACATTTCATATTGGTCACCCACACCACAAAACTATTATCATAATTCGACAAATTGGCTGTTCTTTATTAGGTGTTTAAAATAAGTGAACAAAATTGACAACCCTAAAAGAAAAGATTAACAGATGAATAGATTGCAGAACTTAAAATTGACCAATCAAATCTATTAAAAGTGACAGACAGAAAATTAAACCAAAATAAAAATCGTACTTAACTGTTATTGGATCTAAGAGCGAAAATTATTACTATAAATTAGTCTTGATTAGTTGTTACATGTGTTATTTTTATTAATTAACAGTATTATGATATTTATAATCTCAATCCTTGCTAAAATATACAATGTATTAATAATTACAAATATAAAGTGCACGAACTTGTTAAAAAAAACCAAATTATCATCAGATAACAAGTATAAATATGATATTATTATTTCCTTTCGTCATAATCAATAATTGCACAATTTATATGGCAAAATTTTCGTGTTAGAAATTCTTAGCTATTGGTCCATTAATGCATATATAACTCAAATGGCTATTCAAAAAATTATTGAAACCCTAAATATCACAGATTATTTCCTCATTATTGGTTTAATCTTTGCTACCTATGTTTTTAGCTTTTATTATAAATACTTCAATCGTCCCAATCCACTCCCGGGTCCATTGCCTTTACCATTGATTGGAAATCTTCTTAACATTAGTTACGATATAAAAATGTTTTATGAAAAGTGTCGATTAAAATATGGAGATATCTGTGAAATTATGATTAATGGAAATAGATATATCATTCTCTCACGGCCGGAATATATTGAAAAACTTATGACTCCAACATTTATAAAGACGACTCAATATTTGCAAGGTCTTGAAGAACTTGGATTTTACGGACATGGAATCATTATAAATGAAAATTATAAGAGTTGGAAATACAATAGACAGTTTTTTACTCAAGCATTATTTGCACCTGGATTTATGGACAGCGCTGTAAAGTCTACAAATAAATTATTTGAAGAGTTAAGAGGATACTGGCAGTCCCTTGGAAAACAAAATGCTTCAAATAATAATAATAATAATAACGATAATTGGACTTTAGAAACCGACTTCTCTACATGTTTTCATGCATTTGCAAATGATCTTATTTCAATCATAGCCACTGGTGAACGTACATATTCAATCGCTTCATACTATAACATTCAAAGTACTGTCAAATCTAAGCATCCTGATGCGTTAGTCGAAGATGGGAATAAATTCGTCAAAGCATTAGTAAAGCATCTCGAGGGTATAAATTTCTTTAGTATTTTTGGTCCATTCATGAGGCGTTATATTCCAATAGTCAGAGATGAAGCAAATTCTTACTTGAAAAACCGTGACTATTTGTATGAAAAATTTGATCACATTATCAAAAAGAGAAGAAAAGAGATTGAAGAAATGCCAGTGGATACAGAAATGAAAGCCGATATGCTAACTTCCTTAATTATTACAAACACTGAAAAGGATACTGCTAATGTAAAAACAGTAGGTGGTGAGACTTTTGAGCCCATGACCGATGAAGAGATCAGAGGTAATTTGGTAGATGCATTCAGTGGTGGAACAGATACTGTAAGCAACACGCATTTTCATTATCTAATTTCTTATAATTTACTTTTTATTATTTTATTATTTATTAATATCAGTTTGTCTATATTTAGACCGCTAACACTTTTTGTTATGTAACCTACTATCTTTGTAAACATCCAAATGTAAAGCAAAAAATGATTTCAGAAATTGACTCGGTTTTTTCTAATAAATCTTATCTAACAAATGATGATCTCTTAAAGCTAAAATATTGTGAAGCCATAATCAAAGAAACTAGTCGTATGATACCAGTAGCATATTATGTAACTCGCTATATTACTGAAGATCGTGAAATTGCGGGATATAAATGGGCTGCTGATACATCATTTCTCTTAAATCTTATAGGGATACATGGACACCCTAAAGTTTGGCCTAATCCTGAAGTTTTTGATCCAGATAGATTTTATAATATTGATCAGGATTATGACAAAAAATTAGAAACCAAATATTCATTGATAATTTTTGGTGGAGGTTCACGAATCTGTCCTGGAAGGAAACTGGCGATGTGTGAGCTACTTTTATTGATGGCATTAGTTTACAGATATTATAACGTTGTGTTAGTAAATATGCATGAACCATTGAATATTGTTACCGCAAC